TTTTTTTCGTTTTATTAAAATACGTTAAGATTTCATGGTTTTTTTTCATTTAATTAACCAATTTTGTAAGAGAGATTTAATTCTTATAATTAACCCTATCGATCGATGCAATAAAAGTACAGGGTGCATTTTTTCCAGATTAAAGCGGGTTCGATTCTTAAAAATTTTCGAAAATCTATGAATGCAGTTTTATTCCTTTTAAAAAATAAAGGATTGTTTCCTTTAAGTAAAAATTTCTATCTCCAGTATTTAGAGTACTTTCCCTCCAGGTGGCATTATAAATTTCCACCCTGTATATCCTCAATTTATCGAGTATATAATCAGTAATAGAGACGACTTGTCGTTTAATTTGTTTGAAAACTATTGTGCCATATAATTACTGTGACAACTGCGCTCCGATTGGCTAGCCCGAGTTCGAAACAATTGACGGGTGTCGTCAACTATTTCACTTCAAATCGACCAGTTAACTTGAGCTTTGCTATAATGGATGAAAATTGCAAAATTACATATTTAATATTTAATTACCGATGAAATGTGATTCAGTTTGTTTTGTAATTAGATGTTTTGCTGTTTCTCCACACCACCCAATGGAACAGCACGCCATTGGTAGAGATATTATCTTTATTACAATAAATACAGAATATTTTTGGAATATACGGAGACATACACACAGGTCAGTTGTTGGCGCTGTACTATTTCAGCTGTCTAATTTGATATTTCAGTGCAAACGAGAGTTGATGTTTATGAGTGATGTTTATGAGTGATGTTTATGAGTGATGAGTTGCCAGGAATGTGTGGTTCTTATTTCGTCTCTATTTCTGGTTATATACTTCAAAGTGATTGATTCTACACTTTCACCGTTATGCTGAATCAACCAAAGCCGCTTGAGGTTGTATAGCCTCATGAAGAGCAGAATACCAAAAATAATGCAATGGCAGTTGTTAGTAGCTCCACGGTTAGCCGCTGACAAGCCACTATCTTAACTTTTAGTAGAATACCAAACGTACGAAATCCCGCCATTACCATTTTATCGACGCACAACTGAGATGATTTAAATTCTACATACTTTTTAGAATAGTTCGGTTCCCAAACTGGTTCTTATATCTTCATCTAGCAATCACAGTGTTAATCTCTGGGCCAAGCTGTTTCTAGACCCCAATACTCGGTCTTGCGGCTTAGATTTTTCATTCAAATGTTCAAGTTATCAATAGAGAAAAAAAAATGTTTTCCGCAACATGACGAGAGTCCAAATCTTCATCATTCATTCGTCACCATCATCAACCCTCTACACGTCCCACTGGGTAGAGGGTCTTCACACGTTTCCAGGGTTTTTAAAACCTCTATTCGTAGCGATGCTTTTTTTCACCGTAAACCTTCACAAATGTATGCAAATTGAAGGTACATGCCGCCACAGGGAATCAAATCGTCGACCCCTCGGGACTACCACCGCTCACTAATTAGTTCAAATCTTACAAGTCAGTTTCTGATAGGCACAGATTCGAAGATATTAGATACAATATGATATCCATATAATAAATGTTTTTTACGATCACACTGATTCTTTCCTTCCTTGTCTTCTTCTTATCGTATCGATGGCATACAAATCAAAATCAAAATTTAAATAAAATAAAATAAAAACAAACAGCTAAAAATTAAATTAAAAAAATATAAAACACAATATTAACCTAATGGTGACCAGCTTGTGTGTGCTGCAGCAAGCCAAATAGGTCGTGTGTCAGTTCAAAATTTGCCCAAAAGTAAAAAAAGCACTGATTTTCAGACACCACCTTCGAAGGTAGCGCGTTGCGGTGCATTAAAAGCAAAAACATTGTTAAGTTAATGTAGTGTGCACGTGTGTTAGTATAGTAGATAGATTATAAAAAAAAAATTTGTAACAAAATAAATTGGTAACTAAAACGAGAGTAAATGGTACGTCGTCGGGTAGGATCTTTTCGTGCACCAAAAAACTTCCTTGTTAACTCTTCTTTTAAAGCCGAATCCATCGAAGTAATCATTCTTTCAAAACAATAATCAAAATTCTGATTAATGCCATTCACATTTTACAGGTGTTTTAAAATGTCACCCGTGTATAATATACAACTGTATTTATTATATATGTATAAGTTTTTGACAGCGTATGTATTTCTAATCATTTATATTAATAATTAACTAGCTTCTAACCGCAGTTTCGTCCGTATTATTACCTTAATGCGTTTGTTTGTTGGAATATTTTAAAATCGGCATAATTTTAATAATTTAACGATGTTGATGTATCATTGATTTGTTTTTTTTATTCAAGGAAGAAAGAATAAATTTATGTTTGGTCTTATTTTCTTCAAAGAAATATAATGGGACTTGATAATTAAATATTAATTGAAACAGTTTTCATTAAGCATTTGACGATGCACAAACTACTCGATAGGGTTTTGAGAACACCGAAAAACAGGGCGAACGTCTCCCACAATCGAAATTAAGTAAACATAATTTGTTGTTCTTTTTTTCCTGTGATACCCTGTAAGAAAACGGTGGCTTCTTAATTGTATGTACCTTAATTGCTTTGGTAGCAGTAGAGCTCCTTGTATAGTTTGTCCAGGAAGTGTTGCCAGTTCACCTTTTTCTGCGCCAAGCAGAGTTAATAGCCGTTAATTCCGAATCCGAAAAAATTCGGACATACTTCGGATGTCACTTGTGCACTAAGTCCAAATCGAATCCGAGAAAGTACGAATATCGCTTGTACACCTAGAGATAAAATGATCTCTGTAACATTTCGGACCGTCATTTCTGCGAAGCGGACGTAGTACACAAACGCTCGTCCTTGCATTATTGCGTTCCAGTTTTTAAGGGTACGAGTGCTGGTTACATTACCGTTGTACATACTAGTCTTGTATTAAAGACACTTTGGGCCCAGATTGTAAATTGCTTTGTAGGACAAAGATTCTAATATTATCAGCGGCATTACCCCAAAAACAATGAGAAACATAACGTTTGACGATAATGATAGAACATTCAAAATAGTTATTTTTGATATAAGTGCGGAAAGTAGTCATTATTCACGAGGCTCGAGGCTTCTTGGCCTGAGCCAGAGGCGAGGGTCAAGACGCGAGACAAGTGAAAATGACAAATCCGCACGTGTATCAAACGACGTTTTTTAATACATTTGCGAAAAAACTACATTGAAAGTAAAATAAAACAGTATTTAAAAAAAACTCATTTTCTGCTAGTAAATTAAAATAATGAAATACAACCACTGCAACCATTATTTAAAAGTCTATGGAAATATAGTTCTAACGTGCTGTTTTTGTTTATTTTCTGTAATATCGGTCTGTAACCACTTTTCTTATTATGAAGTCCTGGTACTTTTGTTCAAACTTCTTTAGGAACCCGTGCACGGTAGTGAGATACAATTTATCTGTAATACATAGAACAAATATATACATAAAAATCTCGCCTGTCACCCATTCAGGTGTAGGCAGAGACTGTGGACCTCCACTCGATACGTTCATTATATAGTATTTGTAAATAAATATAAGTTTTAATGACGAATGACTTACGTCACAAAGCACATAAATATTAAATAAATATACGACTTCTTTAGTTCTGTGCTTAAGATTTGAAACAACAGTAAATTAAAAAACAAAATGGAAAAGTAAAAAGCACTAGTGCGAAAATTCCAACTTTCGGCACGATTTGTAGTGCGAAAAATACCACGTTTTGAGCAACTGTATTAAAAATAATTATAAAGGTATTTCAAAAAGATTACGAAACAGCCCTTAAGCTTTAAAGTAATCATCACGACTTAGGAATATCTTAGATAGTACAAGTATACGACACGTTATGATATCAAAAACAATACCTAAACCTATGTATATATACATACATACGATGGGATTGGCATGATGTCATACACGAACCTGCTTAACTGGTCTTATTATATAGACATTTTATTTAGATTTTAGACTTTTCCGTCTGTTTGATTCGATAGTTATTATTAGATTTGGGCTTTTGATTACTCACTCTTGCTTTATGACAGACAACGTTTCCTTTAAACTGAATGATGAAATCTGTGATAAGAAATCGTTGTATTATGATAATTATGATATATTGATCCAACGGTGTGCACTATTGTTGCTAGATTAGAGGTCCTGTATATGGCGAACGGCTATTCTCTGCATGCAGACTTGTTCTTGCAGTTTCGAAACGTTTTAGCAGTAGTAGAGCTCCTTGTGAAAGAGTTCGCCTTGGGAAGTACTGCCACCTTACCAATTCCTGCCGCCAAGCAGTAATGTGAGCATTAGTTCGGTTTCGGCATATAAGATCTTTGTGCTTTAAAGTTATGGATAGGCGTATCGCTTACCACCAGGCGCATGACTTGTTCATCCCGTCATTTCGTATTTTAAAAAAGAGGCGAGAGTGAATAAGCATTATTTAGGTGTGCATGCTTCATCGTCGACCTTAGCCATTGACTTACAATTATATGGACGTCGGGTCCGCGCTAAAAAGTGTCCGAACTTATAGGGCGTTAAAATCGTATACAGAGCGTCATTCACGCTTTAGTCTTCGTTTGTTCGATTGACAGCGAAGCAAGCAAAATTAGACAGTACTGCGATGACATTACAATTTAAATTCAACGTTTTAGCTTTTTCATATTCCTTTACATGTCACTACGTTTAAATAGGTTGACTTGGGACATTTTTTTCGTGGTTTTTGTATTAGACCCGTCGTCCATTTATTTGTAAGACCTTAGCATTACTTTCAGCGAATGAGTGGTAAATCAGTGACATAAGGATGGAATTCTAATTCTATTATATTTTAGTTTGTGTGGTATACGATAAGACTATCTAAAGTCCGATGTATATTTTTTTGGGGATAGGTATTATTATAGTTTAGTAATCTATATTTCAATACAAATTTATCTACACAACGCGAGGTGGATAGGTCTGCCTGAAATGAGTAATTCAATAGTGCTATGATAATGAAAGTTGTATTTGTATTGTTTTCAGATCACACCGAGAGGACCGAGGATGCCAGGAGGACTGATCACGAGCGGCTACCCACTGGCTCACTCGCTACTGATGGCGAAGGTAGGTTTTCCTGGAATTTCGCCTTACGATACTACTTACGATATCCAAGACCAAAAATCTTGGAGGAATTGATGGACCCTTGGTGTGGCCCAGTGCTTATAGCTAAAGACGCTTGATGAGAAGGCATGGACAGGTTTGGAAACGGTATCTTTAAAATTGGTTGTAGGTATACGTTGGGCATCGGAGTTCATAATTTTCTTTCTTTTTTTCAAAAGACTTGTATTTAACAGCATGAAACGAAAGACCAAAAATATTCTAGATATCAAGTATGACCTAATATTAACAGTTATCAAAGAAGTTTTGAAAACGTCGAGGGTTTTAGTGTAATTTTTGGTATAATTTTTCGTGAGTTTGGGTGTAATTTTTAGTGTTCTATGTGTATGTGTTCATGGCCCCGTGACACAGGGTTTCCCTAGTGCGGGGTTCCCTAGTGTGTGCGTTATTTAGTTATTTTTAATGTTAGGCGCCAATTACTGTTCGCGGTGTTTTTTTTTTAAATGTTTTCATATTCAGTTTATTTTTTATACCCGTAGAGAGCTGCTAATTGGTAAAAAGGAATGACCTTTTGAACGATAAATTTTTCGCTATGACACTTTTATTTAGTTTGATATATTCCACACGCAAAATATTGCAAACACCAGCCCGTTACACCAAGTACCAAGTAGACCTATTCTTTCCTCATTCGAAATAAGACTATATAGTCTTACCTAGATTGTCAATAAAGGAGAATTTTCGCTGTCCAAAATAACGCAATTTTCTCAAACAATTTCTTTCCAATTCGCCATTTTAGTTAAATTATTCTAAATTCTATTGGGTATGAAAGGACACTTATAATCAACAAATAATTATTATTTCAACCAATAGTATTTTTTTTAACATCCGTAGAAATTTGAGACAAGTGCTGGGTAACCCAAGTTCATGACAAATATTTGTATATAATTTAAGTTAATAAAACTATTACCTCACTTTTTGTATTGTGTATTGACAAAGGATGAACGGCAGGATGTCCTCAAAAATCGACTCTAAGGGCACAAAAGCAGGAAGGTTTTAACTACTTTCATAATACATTTAATTATACTACTCAGAATATTTTAATCAAATGTGGAACAAAATAACATGAAAACAAACTAATATAAATAATCAAACTAGTCACCAGCACACTTAGGACACGTTGAGCGCGAGGGGTTTTGTCAGTTAACAACTTATTTTTGTGCAAGAGTAGGGTGTTTTCAAAGGTTTGATTTATTGTATGACTGTGTTTAATGCAAAGGTTCCAAAACTTTTTGTCTCGTAGACCACGTGGCTGTTTTTCTGTTTTGAGCAGACACCTCATTCTTTTTAATATGGATACACAGTGCTACTCACTTCGATAAGTTTACTGTATAGTGAGAAACTTTATATAAAAAAAAACACATTTTTTATGTGAAATGTTTACTTCATGGGTTATTTATGCCTATTAAATATGAAAGTATTATGTATTTACAGTGAACAGCATATCAAACTGTACACAATTGCTCGAATATCATCTCCAGAACAACTACACTCTGCGTAATGTGCATTATTCTATTTAGGGAAATTTAAAATTTTGCTTACGATCTGCTTAAATGGGGTGCCACTCTCGTGGACCTCCTATTTTTTCCGCTGACATGGTCGATATAGAATTTACATTACACGCATTACCTTCTTCACTATCTGAGAAGTCAATTGCAACTTATACATGACTTTTTGACTGCATTAATTTGTTTGTAGACACACGCTATCTTCCAAGGTTCATCAAACATTCGTTCGTAAAATCCAATTTCTAAACCCACATTAAGTAACGTAGCAAAAATCTCACCGCTATACGTGGTATTGCTACAATACCACCTGTGTGGTGGTAACCTTGACGATCGATTGAGGCCCGCCTAGCCGGCGCCTGGTCCGCCCCACTACCACATTACTACCATGACATGGTGTCGGGACAACGAAATTTTTACACTATTCTGCTTATTTATTAAACTGAAGGATGGTTTTGGGTTTTTGATTACTGTATCAATTGTAAAAGACAATATCAAAGCCTCACACGTCTCACTGGACACGGTCTTCTTTAGGGAGAGATAGTATACAGTCTGGCTCAATGTTTCAGACGTTATACGTTTTCCAAGGTTTGCCAATCGTCTTCGACATGTAGGTTTAATCACCAGCAAATTACGCTTAAATCGCCACGTACATAAATGTAAATTGTATGTAAAATATATAGTAAAATTAAGGATTTACACTGATTACTATACGGTTTTAAAACACGATTTCTAAAAATTTTCACGACAGACAAAAAACTCAAACTTACCTCGTAACTTTATAAGAAAGCCGCTATATTCAAAAGGTACTACTTTACGTACACCAATCATTGACTTACAATTATATGGACGTCGGGTCCGCGCTAAAAAGTGTCCGAACTTATAGGGCGTTAAAATCGTATACAGAGCGTCATTCACGCTTTAGTCTTCGTTTGTTCGACTGACAGCGAAGCAAGCAAAATTAGACAGTACTGCGTTGACATTACAATTTAAATTCAACGTTTTAGCTTTTTCATATTCCTTTACATGTCACTACGTTTAAATAGGTTGACTTGGGACATTTTTTTCGTGGTTTGCGTATTAGACCCGTCGTCCATTTATTTGTAAGTCAATGACACCAATGATTTCTTTTATATCAACTTAACTAAATATAACACGCATAGATAGTATACAATAGTACATTTTTCGAATGGCTTTAATTCCCTTTATAACACGCCTGTCCATAGTTGCAATGCCAGTCAGAGCTTTAAATCACAAAGATCTATAAGGTACTGCTCTGCGCCCGCCACCCTAAGACATAAGTTGACAAGTCCCATAACTTTTTGTAGCTGTAGATTTCCTTGTGGAAGAGGTAATCCAGGAAAGTACTGCTACTGTATCTATTTCTGCCTCCAAGCAGTGATGTAAGCATTATATTCGAAGGGTGCTGGTGAAGTTACAGGCAAATGGTCATATGGGACTTGTCAACTTATGTCTCAATCTTTGTGATTTAAAGCTCTGAGTGGAACTGCTACTGTTAGAGACAGGCGTGTCGCTTACCACCAGTCATACGACTTGTTCGTCCCGTCATTTAGTATTATAAAAAAATATCACCAGCACTCTTACACTTCAAAGCCGGAACGCAGTAGTGTTCAGTTGCAGCAGACATAGGTAAGGTGGTAGTACTTCTCTGGACGTACTTTACCACGTCTGCAGAAGCAGTAGAGCTCCTTGTGGATAAGTACGTTTAAGTTAAGTACCATTATCCTATGTTACTTAACTTTGGGACGTTTCGTAGACATTTTGTTTCCCCCGACTGAAATCTGATACTCGTACGAATTTCTCTAGAACAATAGTGTTATATAGTTATTTTTCACCGCTGAATCAACGGCCTGCAGCATCCAAGTGACACATTGGCATTGTCGCCCGAAAACGTTGGCTGGGATCAGATTAATGAACTATCTGTCAACGGAAACATTGTTAAACGTTAATTTGACTAAAATAACGATAGTTTGGTGATATGTAGAACAAGCAATATGTTTTCTTATCGATTATAGATATTAAACAAATAGATATAGATCTTCAATGATAAAGATTAATTGATGAAGTCATTGCAGAAGTTAAAATTGTAAATAAATTCATTCATTGTTTTCTTTTACAAAATGTGTGAATGATGACTTGGCATGGTTGGATCAATTCGTCGCCACCGTCTGTCAATGCGTCGATTAGCGGCTCCCTTCTGGAGTGCTTATGTCATGCTTTGTGAATTCTGTAAATACAAATGGTGTGATCACTATACGATATCCTAGGCGGAAAAGTACAGGGCTTATAACAAAAGTAATCATTGTGCAATTGGCCTCTGCATATATAATGGAAAAAAATGTACTTTCGTTCATTAGCTCGTGAGTCTACCACCATCACACCTTTTAGGTTATCAAAGGCGAGTTTGGTTATAAAATTTTATATACGTATATGATAATTGTTTGATGACTAATACCATCTCAGCTAGTCGTTATCATGGAACTTGTGGGCCTAAAACGTTGAAAATAATATAATATATGAGAATTATATCCGAGAAAATAGTTTACATTTCATATAAAGAGGCTAGAATTTAAAAGAAAGGCAGGTCGGAAGTATTTCGATCGAGTTCACCGACATGTGGGGTGTGGCCTCCGCTGAAATAATTCCAATTGCTATGTCTGAAAACGGGTTAATTCCAGCTAGCCTCGCTAACAATTGAGGTGGTTAGATTTCTGTAGCACGTCACTTCCAGCATAAATGCAGGAAGCTGCGCTGCTTCATTCGTCACGTACGACTTGAACCTTAGTGCCTGATTCCGGTGAGAATCTAAAATAGAAGCTTAAAATAATGATAATTGTAAATAAGCGTTTATTTTGGATAACAAGGTCCTTATAACCATACTAGTACAGTACATTTTACTTCTTGAGTTGCCCAATTAGAGTATACCACATGCATTGCTTTAACACAAAAAGGACCCGTCGACCCTGAAAAAATTTATCGTTAACTCTGATCGTTACAGTTTACAAATTATGGCCTAGAAGCTATCCTCGTCGGCAGCATCTAAACAAGGACGATTAAAGAGAAGGAAGAATTGGGTTTTATTTGTGTTTATTTGAGGTACCAATACATAACTAGTATGTTGGCTCAAGATAGCACAATTCATCTTTCGCCCGAGTTTTCAAGGGGCTCAGACACCATAGTGTCTGTAGTGAAAACTACGGTATATTATTGACGACACGCCATACACATAAAGATTTTTTCCACGAACGGGACGAACAGGAGTTAATATAGAACAGCAATTTCTGGTACATGTTATTGTGGCACTGGAGTATCTACCAAGTAAAAAGTTGGGCAAAAAGAAAAGGGAGAATGATCAGTAGAGCTAAGATTGAGTAGGTGCTGTTTACACTTACAATTTTGATGGAATAATGTATTCACAGTGCTCGATTCAGATTTTTTTCGTAAAAAAATAACTTGCCTTCATTAGTGTTGTTTAGGGCGAAATGTAGTGACGGGTAAAGTGTTCGTTGGTCAAAGCTTGTAACCGGATGTGCGACGTCATTGGAAGCCGTCTGCGTGACCTAGAATTAGGGGCTCTACGAGGCTAGCTCAGAAAGTTTCTTTCGTCTAGTTTTTGGTAGGCTTTTTAAAAATTAACAGTGAAAAAGTTTTTTACTTCAAACATCTAGAAAGAGAGCTTACCTATCATCTGGACACGGTAATTTTTTTCTACCAAAAACATTAGCATATTTTGTTATTCTTTTGCAGAAAAACCAAGCTGGGAGTCAGAGTGGTGTCGCCTAGCATACTGGGAGCTAACGCAGCGTGTTGGACGACAGTTCGGCGTGCGCGTGAGAGCGGTTGATGTATTTGGTGGGGACGGTGGAAGATGTGGTTCGAATAGACACGGGCTGTGTCTAGATGCGCTGGAGCAGAGAAGTGATGTGCCACAGGCTGAGCAGGTGAGGATTGCTTACTACATTGTATTATTTACGAACAGATTATGGATTGAAGGGAAAATATAGGGTTTTGGCAGAAAAGTCTCAATATTATCAAAGGGATCATGGTAGACGGAAGCAATATCGTAGTAGCCAAGAGTAATGGGCATCTGCAACAGGTAGAACCTAAGTGCTAACATTGTGGAGTATGAGGATTTGCATTTCAATAGCTTATTGTTCTTAAAATAATATTGAAGAATTTAGACCTAAAATATAAACCGAAATTCCTCGAATCAGAAAAACAGAATTCCATTGGTAATCTGTGTTCGTAAACAGTGTAGTATTGATTTAGCCGCGTGGTTGCGCACGCGCCGATAACCCTCGACATTTGATAAACGATCCACTCGTCCGACCAGTCGGTAAATTGTTTTGGTTTTCTGTTTTGCACAATTATTGCAACTTACTCGATACAAAGTAAATCTGAAAGTCAGAATGCTGATCAGAGAGAGAGAGAGAAGATGATGTAGTGATTATGATAGAAAAAGGATGCTTCGTTGGCTTGGTCATGAAAAGACGAACGTTAGTAATATGATGGAAATTTAGAAAATAGTCATAGTATATGCCGCTAGTGGGATCCGAACTACGGATGCCTTAATTGAGAAGCAACGGTTCTCCAACTAGACTATACGCCCGTTCTTAATGTATCTAATGATTTTCTTTTTTTTCAGGTGAAAAAGACGCGAGAAAAAATCGGTCTAGGTGTCACCCTGTCACTAGAGTCCGATGGAGTCTGGCTGTACAACCGCAGCCAAGAACCTGTCTTCGTCAGCTCTCCAGCTCTCGACGCTGCTGCTGCCAAAGCCCTGTTGGTCTGGCGAGTCGCTCCAGGCCATTGCCTATGCGTGTTCGATCCTGCATTACCACCTCCAGCGGTGTCTTTGCCGCATATTGGACCTGTAGATCCACGGTCTGTGAGGATCTCCTTTGCGAAAGGATGGGGTCCGAAGTACTCCAGGAGGGACGTCACAGCCTGCCCGTGTTGGTTGGAGGTGCTTCTAGCCCCGCCTAGCTGACGTAAAGACTAAAGTGATGGGTTTCTGTGTTTGTTTTGGTTTGTTACATTGAGGTGGGGTTTTTTGAACATAAAAAAATTAACAAGTCAATAATGAATGCTCTTTTTGTAAGCTTAGTGTGCGTTATTATATGCAGAACCATTTGAATTTCAAATAAATCTGCACCTCAATTTTATCAAACAAAATAATCGCGTCAATGTGAACAGTGGAAATAGACCAAAAAAGTGAAGTGAGCTGACATTTTGAAATAGTAGACTGTGCAAACAATTTTTGTTTATTGTTGAAATTTTGTATACTTACCAAGTCTTTGATGCTATGAAAATTATGGAACGTAGAGTTTTGATAATTTTGATAGTACTCGAGCACATTTAATAATAACAGTGCACCCAATAATTGCACTACGATACCCCCGCAGAATGAATTTCTTTTGGGGCATAATGGTACATAAAATATTTAGTTCAAAAGTTGTTTATTTAGTAAACAATAATAATATTGACTAAAAATACTGTTTTTAATATAAACTAGTCTATATCTATGTATTTAATACATAGAAAGTATGTGAGAGTCAAGCACTCACACGAAATGAGGCCTTGTTGTAGTGATTTGAATATTGTGATTAAAACATTTTGTCATGAATTTATTCCGAATTCTAAATATTATGAAATTGGTCAATGAAAATTTAAAAGAAAGCAGTGGGCGTTTAGAGTTATAATGACTTTTGCATTTCGTCCATCGTAATTCATTATTTCATAAAACATTTCATTAAAATCATAATCGAGGATCATTAATAATAATAAAATAACATTTTTTTTGTAATATTACTCGCTCAAATTGGAATAGCCAATTTTGGTGTGGAGTAAAATTTATTGCCCAATGTTTTCTTTCGGAATTTCCTCTGCCTTTACAATTTTGAGGCCTTAGAATTATGGGCCACATGCACCATTGTCATATGTATACAATTGTATAATATTGTATAAAACTCGGCTTTAAGACATCGCGAGACTGTATATATAAAAATATATGTACTATAAATATTTGTAATTAACTACCTATTTATAATTATAAAATTATGCCTTACCTTAGCACGTAAAATATATCTAAGTCTAGTTCGTAATTGTATTTCATTTTTTGTACAAATCTATAATTTGACACAATTTTATATTGCGCGTTGAAAAAAAAATTTAAAATGTGAAGAAGGCTGTGTGATAAGCATTTTAACCGACTCAGAATAAAAGGTAAATGTGTCGTAGTGATTGCGCGTTAGGGGAGAATACCTCTAGTTTGTTTAGATGCCTCATTCTGATCTTTTTTTTAGTTTTTGTAATCGAAAAAGATCTGCCAATGTTTTTAAATACATTTTTAATAAAATATAGTGCAATCATGTTTACAAAGACAGGTGGGAATCGGAACTGTCTAAAACACTGTGCCTTGTGTTGTATTCATATAATAAACCGAAATTTGTATAGGGTAATACAGTCAATTTCGCTGGCCTATAATACGAGTAAGTATATACATTTATATGTATACAATTATGTTATATATTAAAGCTCGAATTTAAGGGTTTTGCTTAAGACAAAGTGGGTTGACAATAAGATATGCATTCTAGTCTTTATAAAAATCTTGCTTTGTCGTTATTCACTAGGTATGTCCAATTGTTAGGCCATTGTAGTAAAGGGCCAGTTTGTGAAAAACTTTCGCAAGTGAAAAATAGTGTAATTTTGTAAATCAAATCTGGATTTAATGTATTGTGTAATGAATTTACACGACTTTGACCTTTAGCGAAATGTACATGGAAATGCTGTCACAAAACTCAAAACCCCAGTACGCCTTTGGGACCGTTAATAATGTTATTTATTTGGAAATTTTAATGAATTCTGCTATTTAGTCATTGCATTAGACTGACGTAGCAATTTAATAAAACCGTAACATATTTTTGAACAATGTACTATTTATATTTTTTCATCGGTTTGGTGAATTTTAATGGTTAAACTTTGAGAGAATTGTTAAAATATGCATTGTTAAAAATATGTTAAAGCTATAGTAATAATATAATGTAGATAATATTTCTCCCTGACTCGCCGGTGACACAAAAAACGGTTTATTTGAGGCTGTTTTATTTTATTGTTATTAAGAGAAAACAAAATCGATAGTCGAAATTTGAAAACTACATAGAACATTTCATATAATATATCTTGTGAATTTTGTTCCTTGTAGCAGTTTAGAAATAAATATCTTAACGGCATACTTTTTTGACTCGAGATAAGGTAGCCTCAAATGTAAACCAAAATGTTGTGAGTCTAATAAACGATGGATGAGATTAGGGTACGATAAATTATAAATAAAGAAAGAGAATATTTTTAAAAAAATTCGAGAAGTTTTATTTTATTTCATAGTAAAATAAATTTTCTTTTTTGTGAAAGTACAAATCTAACCACACTGGAACATATCTCCTACACAATTGTAAAAACGAAACAATGGAATTATTTTTTTAAAATACCTACCATTTAAAAAAAATATTTACACAATACTGCTTATTGGTGCCACTGCCGAAGTAACAAGTCGGTCTTATTTGGGCTTGATTCTTAATATTAGTTTATTCTAATTTCTTTAAATTTGTATTTGGTAGAAACAGGCAGGCCACGCCGATTGCTAAAAAAAAACATTATTATTACGAAAACGTAAAAAATAATTATGCACAGTGCCATCTAACGATAAACTTTTGTACTTTTAACGTCAGAAAATCTGCTTCTGGTTAGATGATGTAGTTCAAACTACGTTGGTTAGATGGCGCACATTTAAATTTACAATCTTTCCTAATGCATTAAAATGAGTGAAAATGAAACTTACCAGCTAAAACGGCTGTGATAGTAATAAAAGGCGGGAAACAACCGAAGCCTATTAAAGCTGGAAATGCCACCGTTCCTGCTATGGTGCCAAGGCGGCCGCACATGAGGAAAGTCACCATGGCCATTACTCTGGAATTAAACAATCATTTGATATCATGAAATAGTCAAGATATTTCTTTTCTGAAAGGATTTTTTATTGTAAGTAGTACGTTTTGTTTCTTATGTTGAACAATTTAAAAAATGAAGCAAAATTCTTAATGACCACATGACTGTCATAAGCTTTATTGTCAAATCCTGTCTTGCAAAGAGATATTTCTGAGCCTATGCACACGGCGTATATTATACGCTCTGACGACGCGCAGTAGACGCGCGTAACGCGATTCAAAAGTTCCATGCGCCTCAATTTGTATTTGAAATTGGCAGCAGAAATAGGTAAGGTGGGCTGGCAGTACTTCCCTGGACGAACTCTTTCACAGGTAACTCTACTGCTTTTAAAAGTGGAAGCAACTGGAAACAGCAACGTCTGCGTCTGCGCTGTATACTTTATACGTCAGTCGATTTCATAAAACTACTAGTTACCGGGTGACTATCCAATACAAGACATTACAGTGTCCTCGTTTGAGGTGCGTTTTATAAATTGTTTAGCATATGTAAGTTACCTTAATGAAGTAGGAAAGAGATCCACACAGATACTAGATAACGCAGCCCCACAAAGCGAAGTAAAAGCTAAAGCTGCCGTCACCATCGCTGCCACGGAGAAGGACCCTGTGCCCAGGAACGGCATCATCAGTACCGCCGCAGCACTGGCCACACAGCAGAAACCTGCTACGATTTTCTTGCCACACCTGTAAGGTTGAGGGTTACAGGTTATTCGAGGTTAGAAATTGTGACGGGCGTATATTTATATTTTGCAGAACTATTGCAAATATATTCGAGGATCTCGGTTGTCCAACGGTTTACGTCCTGGGTTCGATTCCCGGTAGGACCAATATAGGAAATGAACTTTTCTAAATTGTTTCCAAACTGGGTGTTCTGGGAAGTGCCCTAGAGTAAATTCCATTGTTCTGGTAATCATAGTACGTACAAGGAATTCGTTAGTCTGAGACCAGGCAATTCGTGTGGTTGTCTGGTAAGAAAAAAACAAAAAACAATCAACTATTTACATTTGAGAAGTAGGGACCGAAAAAGCAGGTAAAAAATTACAGTAGGTATATTTCCCAATCTTCTTTTTTATAATATTAAACGACAGGACGAACAAGTCGTACGCCTGATGGTAAGCTATACACCTGTTCATGACAGTTGCAGCGCCACTCAGAGCTTTAAATCGCAAAGATCTGAGGGGCATTGCCACTGCGCCCGACACCCTGAGCCATAAGTTGACATGTCCCATGTGCCTGTAATTTCACCAGCACCCTTACCCTTCAAAACCGGAACGCAGTAATGCTCACATTACTGCTTGGCGGCAGAAATAGGTAAGGTGGCAGTACTTCCCTGGACGAACTCTTTCACAAGGAGCTCTACTGCCTCTAAATCTATTGACCCCCTCTCGTCCTTTTACTAACCTATTAATCAAAAGGCTTCCAATCCCATAAGTCAAAACCGACCCCGCACCGACAATTGAGCTCTGCAGGTACGTCAGCATGTCAGTTTCTATCGGAATGCAGGAGGTGTCGCTGACGACGGGGGCCTGTGTAGGATCGATGGCCGAGCAGAGGGTCTTGTTAGAGTCTGAACCAATCATTGCTGCCAACTGAGGGTACCAAAGGCGAATTGTGTTCGATCTGTAAAAAAAAATTAATTCTTCAACCTGATCTGTAATAGATTACAAAGGTAGAGAAGTAAACTGAAGATCACTTAATAGGGGCTAGTAAAGGAACAACAAGGATAGAACAGCTTTTGTTGGAGTCAAAGCATTAGAATTGATTATTTTAGGTAGTTGGAGTATGAGAGACAGTTTATTAGAGTGGATGATGAAAATGTTGTTAAAATACGTAACATATACCAACCCAAACATGGCTCCAATGTGAATAACGCAAATGAGGAATAACCAAGGCGCGTGAGGTACTTTAAACAGTGGAGAGATCTGTGCCCAGCCGCCTCTTAGTGCTGCTATTCCTCGGCCTTGTTGCTCTGACTTTTCTTCCAATAGGTTTGTGATCTAAGGAGAGAAATTAATCATCAGACAAACGTACTGCTGCACCAATAGAATATACTTGTTCGTTTGTGCAGTATTGGTTGGAATCCGCTTTGATTGCCAGTTGCGAATCTTTCTTTGCCAGATTATAGTTCTATTATCTTATCTCATCATTAAAAGGAACAGTGACTAGAACTATGAGACTTTGGTTAATTTTCCATATTAAAAATAAATATTGCTGAAGGAAATATTTTGTAATTACCGGATAGTCCTCTTTCCGGTTTCCAGTGTTCAGGATGAAGATTTTCTTAAATACTTGTTTTGCCTCTTCGTTCCTGCCTCTAGACATGAGGAACTTGGGGCTCTCTGGAAGGAAGATGAATGCTACTCCCGTCATCAGCGGTACCATCGCTGAGGCCAGCAGAAACAGATTCCAGGCATGGATTACTGGCGATGAAAATACAATATTAATTTAGCAACATATAACTGATAAGTCTGTACCGTCGCTATTTTACTACATCAACGTATATTTTACCATCCTGGGCAATTAATATGGATTTGAATAAAAGATTTCACGATCTCTTGACGATGACGTTACAAATGAACAACATTAAAGTCTTTATAAAGTGAATTTTTTTTACTTTTCTCTTAGTGATTTAGCGTAATTCTCTTGAACGCGATTATTAGAATGATTTCTATTGACAAATCTCGTGTAATAAACTAAAACTCACCAAATTCTTGTCCAAATAGATAAACATTGATATCTCTAGTAAGCAGGCTCCAAGCTAGTAATGGAAGAGTAATGTTAGCAAAGGTGTAGAAGAGACTGGTTAACAATATAACACGCGCTCGATACTCGGTGCGATGAAGTTCTGCAATGTATGTCAATAGGACTGCGAAGGGACCGTTGAATCTGGAAAATAATGAATGATAATTTCCAATTTCAAAGTTACTGTCAAATATTTCTAATTTTCTACAGCAAATGCAGTTAGAAACAGCGAAAATTAACAAACCAAACAGTTTTGTATAAAGTTTTCTATATTTATTTAATGCATAGTGAATCAGATTAGTGGTACTCACAAAAAGCCGCTTGCGAATTTGGTAACGAGCAACATGGTGAAATTCTGGCTCATGGCAGCCATGATCTCCACCAGGCCTGAGCCGAAGAAACCGTATATCATTATGCAGCGCCTACCCAGTGTGTCGGAGAGGAATCCCCAGATCATAGCTGACGCGATCATTCCTGGAAATAATAAGACAGTCGTGTGTATATAATTCTATATATAATTTTTGGTCGTTATGCAAAGAAATCGAGTCGGCTATCTGCCAGTTTTTTAGGTCAATATACAGAAATCCTAAAAGATCTCAATAAACTGCTAATATTCTAGTCTTAAAAGACCGATTCTGCTGAGTAACATCTTCTTTTTACATCGTACCACTATTGTCTGATATTATAATTTGTCGTTAATTAATTAATATCGTCATGTCATTTAAGTAAATATTAAAAGAAGCATTTAAGCTTTTAAGTTGCATATCTTTGTTTGTCTTAATGTTCAGTACAACAACGCGTTCAGGGTTTTATTGGGTTTGCCACGGTACTGCAGCGCATCGGGCATGTTCGCGGATGCCCACACGGATGGTTTCCATGCTATCCTTAGAAAGAGAGCTGCCTCATTAATATGTCGTATTCGTTGCGGCACGAATGAGATTCTGCGCGTTGTGGCTGGTAGAGTGGATTGCCCCATCATGCTACATTGCATGAAACTGCATTTAAAACCATGTCGATGATTTATTTGATATTTAATTTAATTTGTTTAATTGTTCTAATTATCTAAGCTAATATTATAACTGTAAAATATGGACTGTAGTTGTCTGAGAATAAATGATTTTTGATTTTGATTTGATATATATATCTCATCCAACTACCTCTATTAGTTTATACATATTTATTACCACTAGTCACAGGATTCTTTTCGACGTGACTTTTTCTTATTATGTAAGGACAACGGCACATCAGACTACACATTTTTGTTCGAAAATCGCCTCCAGTGCAACGGAAGAAGATACGTCAATGTATAGCTTGAAGTGCTTGCGTGTGTACATGCTTCACAGTCACAGGTTGACTGTCGGTTTGTCAACTATACAACACTACACATAACTGCTGTGTAATGCGATATTTGTTCATTACAGCTAAATAGTAATTACCAGGGAAGTTATCGTATTTACTTTGTACTTTGTCTGTAGTTCATCAACACCTCATTCAGGAGTGATACACATGTCTACAAATATTACGTCAGGGCTGTCTACTTATAAACTAATTCGAAAGCAATATTTTTCTAACATTATATATTTCAAATATTTAACCAACTTATCTCTAACTAAACAATATAAAGTGTTTAAGAACATTACTATAAGAACAAACGTTGTACTAACAGTTACTATCGCGGGATCAAAGTTTTAAATCAAATATTTGTATAAACGCTGTCAATGATGGCAAAGGTTATATTTGTTTGTTGAAATATTCTCACAGCTTTTCCAGTTAAATATGTACGTTGATAATAGCAGAATTTGCCCTCTCGGTACTGCAGATTTGGGCTTCAAGTTAATTGATCTAGTCTGATGTTTTATACTCCTGAATGCATCCGTACAAAGTTTATTCCTGTTTATACATTGAACTATTATTCTTACAAATTAAAGTTAGCCCATTAACTCAGCGATCCAAAGGGTTTTTATTTGAAGCTCTCTTTGGCAACTTTTGTCAACGTTTGTCAACTCTTGTACAATGTTGATGTCTTCTTTATTAATGCAGTAATTGCGGTTTGAAGTGTCCAGCACTAATATATTTCGATCATTGGCTGAGTTTCTCCACATTATATATGAAATGTAAGTCTTTATAAGTCTATACACACATGTATGGTTTTATCTATATGTCAGACAATATGTTTTCTGTTTGCACTTTCAAAATAGTCTTTGTAAATAGCCGTGTTAAGATTACTTTCAAAGTTTCTTTACAACTTCATTCAAAGTTTTATATATAATTTTGTCTCCATTGTAGAGTTAAAAATACCTACAATACATTTTACAAGGTAAGGAACATCGTACAGTTAATATATTCATTATTTCGTTGCTTTTACGTAATAATATACTATTAGGAAAGTGATCAATTTCGTCACGTCCACTTATTTTGTGCACGCGTGTCCGTGCGTCACAAACTACTTTAATGTCATCGCGTCGTCTTTATCAAAGTTTGCTGTAGGATTTTCGTATTGAACAATGATTAACTTTGCTCAACAACGTGATACTAAATTTTCCTACTGTCTCTTGTTTTTCTACTGTGCTCACTTGCCTTGTTTACCGGTAAAACGTTTCAAACGTCTGTTTTGTGATGACACGCAAATAATTGTCTTTGGCTTAACATGTATTGTGTAGTTGGAGAATTATGTGGATAGAACAATTGTTGTGTCACTGTGTAAGGAGCTAAAGAAGATTTTAGGTTTTCTACTCTAAAAACTTTCAAGAAGAGCTTCAAGATAATCGTTACTTAATAGATGATTTTTTTATGAGACCAAATGACGGGACGAACAAGTCGTGCGCCTGCTGGCAAGCGACACGTCTGTCCATAGCAATTGCAGTGCCACTCAGAGCTTAAATCGCAAAGATCTGAAGGGGTTTGCCACTGCTCCTGTCACCCTGAGGCATATTTTGACAAGCACTATTTGTCTGTAATTTCACCAGCATACTTGCCCTTCAAAACTGGAACGAAATAATGCTTCCATTACTGTTTGGCGGCAGAAATAGGTAACGTAAGATGGCAGTATTTTGGAGGCACGAGGATATATACAAATGATAGAAGATATAGATGTCATATATGCGGACAGGCCTTCATACTGATTTGCAGCCTTAAAGGATATATGAAGAGCCAACATCCTGAGTATGTACAATAATAACATCAAATCACAAATCCCCATTGGGTCGAGTCTTTCTCAATGATTGCTTCTTCGACAATATAAAATTTTCACTTTGGTGTCCCTTGACGTCGAGCGGAGTGCTGTCCGAGTATAGATAGACATTCCCATTAAAAATGATTTTAAGCGTTATTAACTGACCAAAAAATGTAGGAACTGACCTCCGTAGGTGATAGCGTTAACAGTGCCCATGTCAAGCAAGCTGAGTTGCATATCGCACTGGGCTCTGGTGAAGATGTAGCTGACAGAGCTGGTGACAGATACGGCGCTCCAGAAGGCGGGTAAGGAGGCCAGCATTAGCACGATGTTGAAGCAACCATAGCCTGTTGCTGCTATCGCGGTTTCGAAGTCTGCTGGGGGTTCTGAAATTGATACATAGTCGACGGTTAAAATTTAAAAATTATTTTTACGTGAAATTACTCCACTGGTTTGTTATAATTATTAATACAAAGATCGAACTCTCAGAAAAAATCCCTTCGATCCGGCCGGATTCGAACCGACGTCTTCTAGCATACCGTGCCAGACGCTATACCAACTAAGACACGGAACGAACCAGCGGACCTCACGAATTTTTCTATGTGCTTGCGTCGTATCTTTGTATTTAGTTTTTCAACGACTAATTATAAAATAATTGAATATCAATTCAATAAAAATTTAAATACAATGAATAGCGACATCTCTAGCCGTGGCTGATAGATAGATAAAATATCATAGATTTGTCATAGATGGCGAAAATGAATAACTATTTATTTTTGAACTTGTTTGATAGGCCTACTAAATACAAAATAAAGGTAGCCGCAATGAGAGGGAATTGCACTGAAGAAGCATTAAAAGCAGCCATTAATGCTTAGGAAATGTCTCAATACTTGTAAACGGCCCAAAACGTTGGTGTGCTTGAAAAATGCGATTCAAATCCGGAAAAATAGTTTCATTTCATAAGTGTAACAATAGCGAAAACGTAAGAACTCGATAGCTATTAAAGTTGCTGCTCCTATGAAACCCCCTCATCGAAGACTGGCTCCAATGCGTCGTGTGCGGCTTTTGGGTTCACGAAAACTGAGGATTTCACGACACGAGAAAAAAGAAGACTTGGAAAAGAAAACACCAAATAAAAGATCTATCTAAGTCTAGAAATCTTACCCATAGTCCTATGGTTATCATACCCGGAAACCTCGGAAGAGATGGCCAATCGCAATTTAAAAAAAAAAAACAATTTTCAGGCTGGTCTCAAGACAATTTGTTCTTTTTACTGTTAAATAATTAATAGTTAATTGTTCAAAGTTTAATAATATCAAAGAAAGATTTGCAATGTAATATCTAAAATTTGATTTTGACAGCGTTTAGAAAAAACTATGACCGTCTACCCCAGTTTTACACACATTAAGTTGAAATTAATGAGTTTTAAATTATAATTTATGTAACTAGTTGATATACTATGACAAATTTGCAACACTAATAAAATAAATACATACTCTCCAATAAACATAGTACATACTAATAAGACGCTTTACCGATGCAACAATATAGTTAAAAAGGTCAATATCAACCTGCTTGGATAATACATTAAAGCTGTTACTCGCATGCAAGAGATATGCATTCCGTCGAAAGTTCGCCGAGGCCAGAGGTACGCACGGAAGTGAGTTAAGCATAGGGGTATTTGTAGGGGCTATTGTTATTTGACTCGTACCGCTCCCTAGTTCAAAGACACAAAAACTTAATAAATCTACTTTGCACGTAGGTATTGAGGGCTCCAGGCCTGCGATGCGTATTCCAGGTGGCTACGGACAAATGAACGGTACCTATACATTTTTTTGTGTCTTGGCCTGTCTAAAATCTCTGAATTTGAGTACGCATCACAAAGCCGAGAGTTTTTGAGGCTTTTGAAATAATAGCATCAACATGCGAAGCAAATAACAATTTATGATGATGAAGCAAACCAAGATCCCTTACCACAGTATCGCGTTAAAGTTTTGAATGAATAGTTGAGATGCACTAAGTTACTTTTGCGACTAAAAGTGATGACCTTGCAATTAGACGGATCAAGGTCAAACTAGTTATCTGTTATGGTATAAATACAGCTGTTCATATAACAACTGTGTTTATAACATGGTTTGAATAAACGGCATTCTTTTCTATTCTAAGCATCACTCAGCATTAAATACTATACAAGAGTTAGAACACAGTTTTACATAATAAATAATAATCAATATCAGACATCACATAAGTTGCTCAGATCCCAAAGTAAGTAGCTAAAGCAAGTGCTTTTTCCGATTTCCATAGCACAAGTGTGCTATGGAAATCGGAAACCACAAACACCCATACCTGAGACAATATACACAAGTTAGTTAGACCCGGCCGGGGATCGAACCGGAGACGGCGACATCATGAAAACTCGACCACAGAGGTCATATGTAAGGGCAAGTGTATGTAGAGTAGGTAGGGCTTAGATTACATAATCTCACACACACAGTACTAAAAAAAACCAACCTCAAAGTTCGTGGAGTCACATCTATTTGCCAAGTTTTATTGAAATTTTGACATCGGTTAAAAATACATACTTACCCTGTGCCAATTTCTCCAAATTGCTAGAAGACAAACCAGTCACTCTGAAAAGGTGGTCATGCGGTATCTCCTCTCTATTCGCCGGAGCTTCCGTGTCGCGTGTGGTCACCATCTTAACAACTACTGGTGTTATACCGATTGTCCAGCTGGTCGAAGCAATCGAGTACTTTATGACACTCTAGTGGCATTCTCATTACGGCCGACTAAATGAGGTAACCTAACAAACTATAATTTTATACACAACTAGACGACACCGTATCTTCAAAGTTTGCCATGGGATTACATCTTGTGCTCCGTCAACGGTATTCCTCCAGTCACAGTATCTGTTTTTGTAAACAGTATAATTCGAAAATAGTAACGGGCAAATACAATAATGATATTTGTTAATAATTGAAACGAACGCTCATTAAATATTTGTTGAGTAAGGAATGGGCGTGTTGTGTGTTTACCTTTAGCGGTGTCACGGCATTATTTGTGCGTGAAAGTAAGTTTAGGCTGAGTTTTAATCTGTATATTTTATACCGTGCTCTGGGTCAAAATCTAATAAACTCTATTTCATAGGTAATAAGTATAAGTAATTGCACTAGAAATATCACATTGATTGCATTGTACCACTCATTCGTAAGGCAGATTTCCCGGATTAGAATGAGTAAGTACTTTAAGAGATGGTTTTTTACATACACATTTGTACTCATTTACAACATTTATTTCAAATATCGTTGATCGAGACAAAATGTAAGAGCTACACGGGTGGCTGCCATGGATTTTTGTCATCCCTCTACACAGAAGCTGAATAATAAACCTTTAGCGTAAAGTTTTTTGTTTCACTATAGTTTTAAACTTCGTAAATGCAGCTTGTCTGTATGCGTTTAGTTTCTGTCGCCAAAAGTCACAGACGTATATGAACTTGGGCGGCTTGGGTTACATTTTCCTTTAAATGTAACATCCTTTGTCTTATCGAGTTCTTAGGTTTTTGCGATTGTAGGATAGGATCATAGGAAATGAAACTATTTTTTCGGATCTAAAGCGCGTATACTTGTTTTTTCAAACAAAACGTCGTGTCCATGGAAAAAACACCGTTTGAAAAAAAAACAAATATCCTTTGTCTTGTTTACAGTTTATTCGAAATTGATTTCTTTAACGATCTATTTAGAGACTCAATTATAAATTTTGGGTTGGTGGTGACATTACCATGTACAATGGTTTTATAGCCATTGTACCCTCGTCTTTTCATTGTGAATGTGATGGCATCATAACATTTTATCAAGCGCCACGTATCATAATACACGTCGCCGGTCTAGCGCGTGTCGCACCACGCGTAAGTAGTAGGTTTCCGTACGTTTTAAATGTGATTGCTTTACAAGTTCAATTCTTTGTTTCTATGAAGATGAAAGAAATCACAAAATTTTCATCACCGTCAATAGATCATTAAACAAAGACGATTTCAATGGCTATTTTGTACAGGTTAGAAGTTCCGAGTGGCATTGTCAACCATTTTATTGGGTGTTACATCTCGCAAACGTAGTAGATAAAATAATGGTGTACAATGCTTCTTCAATAAACACCAAAAAATAAAATCGACACTAAGCGGTATTTGATAATGTAGGGAAATAGAGCAAGCAATAGTCCAGTTCCGCTCTTAAAGATAGATGGTTCCTCATTTCGATCGATTGTCACTTGTTGTTACTCCTTCCCACGACATAAACATATACTATCGATTCGTCGTTACGATCAATCTGAAACGAAGTATCGTGAAAACAAATCGTCTCCTATATAGGCTCCCATATGGGAGCTCTCAATAGCAGTAGAGCTCCCTGTGAAACAGTTTATCCAGGGAAATACTGCCACCTCACTTATTTCTGCCGACAAGCAATCATATGAGCGTTACTGCGTTCCGGTTTTGAAGGATAAGGTTATGCTGGTGAAATTATAGGCACATGGGAATTGACATCTTAAGTTTCAGGCTGACGGGCGTTATCACAGACCACATAATATTATTTTTAAGTTTATCTTGTCACCTCGAGATTGTCTGAAAAAGATTGCTGTACCCTGAGATTGCTGATCTATTGTACCCTGTCTTTGGTATATTCTTGAGTGCAATAAATAGTATTTAAATTGCACTACAAAACATTCAGTTCTAAAAAAAATTGTGGCTCTGACTGACTGCAGTGGTTCATACAGTACACTGTTGACGAAGCAACTCTAAAAAAGAACGTTTGATAAATATCTCATACAAACAGATAAAAAATAATACAATGACGTTCACATTTTTATTTATTTGTAAATATTGTGTGCATTGCTAAATAAATAACTAACACCGAAATTTAGTATTCGTCGAAATTTTTAAAAGTAATAGGTATACTTCACAGGGCTTGAATATATTAAAAATCTCTTGTATCGCCCTTAATGAGAGTGCTAGGCATATTATAAGCAAAACCAAAAATATGTCATGTAAAAAACAGGTTTTTATGGGTATTTTCGTACCTATTTCGCATCCTTAGCTACATGTGATCAAAGTCTAAAGACAGTGCTTTTATCACATGAAAGTCATAGCAATAATTGACCACCTTCGTCGTGGTCGAGTGGCTGGCACATCGGTTTTCATAGTGTCGCCGTGTATGAGGTGCCAGCATTGATTCTCAGCCGGTTCAATGTAGAAAAGCTAACGTTTCTATATTGTCTCGGGTCTAGGCAATACTAATCATTAGGATATTATACTTGTAAACAAGGTCTAGGTGTTTGTGGTGCCGTCATTGTTTCCCATTTTCCATAACACGAGCGCTTTAAAATATCGGCACGCTATGATAGCCGTTTTGGTGTTGGTCCGCTCGTCAAGTTTCGTATTAATTCATAAGTACGTTGAAGGAGCTAATTGACGTACATTGTTATCAATACTGAAAACTTAGCATTTGTTTATCGAAATTTGAAATTTAAAAAAATGAAATCTAATAGAACGTCTCTTACAGGATCGCTGGCCAGCACCACTTTTACCTCCGGCAAATTCGTGTCAATGCTCATGCAAAACAAAGCAGCTTCGAAATGACGATTATTTTCGTATCGAGTTCTTAGGTTTTCGCGATTGTTACACATAGGAAAGGAAACTATTTTTTAATTTATTATTTATCTATAGCGAAATATAGGGTGGTTTGCATTAATATTAGACATAACTGGGTGATGACTGTACCACCTCACTCAACCGTGACCATGGGACCTGTAAAGAGCCCGAAACGTTGGTTTGTTTGAAAAAACAAATATACGCGATTTAAATCCGGAAAAATAGTTTCATTTCCTATTTTAATTTTTGTTTCATTAAAACCTTTTAATTAGCTACCCCTTCCAATACTAGTTATAAATCTAAAAACGCATGCGCGACTCGAATTTGATTATATTCTTTTCGATAATTAATTGAGATTTTACCTCACTAATTGTAATCTGTCAAAACGGCCATCATAGCGCGCCGGTGCTTGTAATGATTAAATGCAAAGATCGAACATAAAGAAAAATCCTATCTACCCGACAGGACTCGAATCTACGACCACGGGATTTCGTCCCATCGCTCTTCCAACTGAGCTGAGGTCGAGTTAACCGAACCGACGAAATTATTCTAGGTATCACACGTCATACGTCCCACTGCTGGACACGGGTGTCAGCTACCTGACGGTTTAAGGTCATATCTTTATTTGAGGTGCAGGTTTTATTGTCGGTGGTGTATTTTTTTACTGTGTTTTTCATTATAAGTAACTGTGCTTATTTCTGTTCTTTTTCTCAATTCCTTTCTGTATTTTTGCTCATTTCTATCTTTTGCCATACCCTCCATATCATCCACTTCAACTGTATAAACGACTAACTACATTATTAACCATTTTTGATATTCATGTGGTTCAAGATCTTTCTTACTGGTAGATGCATTTAAAGTTGTCATATATTTTCTGTGTACTTCTGTATAATTAACTGATTTATCTACCAATGTGTAGAATGTATACATTTAAGAAACGCCTGTTCCTTGAAATATAAATTTTTTGTACAGATTCATTATTTTGCTCATACTTAATCATAAGGAAATATTGTGCGTGAAGATCTCTCACAACTGCTTGTAGATATTTTCGCATTTTATTTTACACACCACTAATTAAACTTATATTCTCTTTTATTCACGCAATTTTAACTATTTGCGGGTTGGGTTAACAATCATAATGGACGGACAAATTAAAAAGGTTTCCAATCCAATCATATATAAAAAATATTTTAGAATAAAGTTATGTACAGAGGTCATGTTGAGCCAGCTCCTGTTTGCTATGATGTTAAAATAAAAGTTTCGCATTTGTGAGATAACGTGTTTTATTAATACAAAATACAGCTGTGTAGTTCATATTTGCGGTCGCTCGGGCCGCGTGCTCTTCGGCAGAATTATGCAGAGTAGACCACTCGCTGCAACAAACAAACAGGTACGCATTAATAACATCATAATTATTGTTGCTATTCATTTTCTGAACTGAGGAAACAGAGGTAGTTTCCGATTCGGTTTATTGTAAGCAGAGTAGCATTTGGGCGTGACAAAGAAGTTAAACCACTACCAGCCACTAGGTTAAATTTTTTCGAGCCTTAATCCTGCTTTATGTGAATCTGATTCTTATGGAAAATGTTACAATGATTTCATTGACTTCAGTTAAAATTTGTGTGCAAAGGTATATATAAAGGTCCTCACTTATAAGAAGCGTGCCAAACATATAAATGGGAACGACGCAGTGCTCGTCGACCAATGCCCCGAAGATCACGTTGCCCACGATTGCGCCGATGCGGCCGCACATCACCGTTACCGCCATCGCTGTGGCTCTGTGAGTAGGAAGAAATTATTAGAATAGCAGCATCAACAGTCAATTGGCCAATGTAGAAGAGTGCTAACTCAATAGAACTGGGATGGAATTCGTCGAATAGAAACCTGCATGCACCCTGTGAATGAAAGTCTTTGATTCAATTAAATGATTTCACAAGCTTTTGTATGTCACACTCTTCTAATCTAGTGTGCTGCAACTGCATTATTTATTAAACAGTTGGATAAATACTTACGCAACTTTAGTGGGGAAGATCTCACAAATGACGCAGAACAGCACTGCCTCTGTGCAGCTGACGATGGCCTCAAAGATGCAAGAGAGAATCAAATTTTGGAAGGAGGAGTAAACCAAGTTCAGCCCTAGCGCTGCACATCCGGAAATCGTCAGCATCATCACTGTAAGCAAAAATAAAGTTTCACGAGGAAGAATATACTGTGTTCATCGTTTGATTGTAATCAAAATGTCGAAATATCATAAAAGTATGAAACAACACGGCAACAACGCGCCCCGACTACATCGCTCAAAGGAAACACTGTCTTACCTAGCATGAGCTTCTTGCCGACGATGTTGATTGAGAGGCCAACCGAAAGCGCAGTGGGTAGGCAGCTTAGGGCCACAATCAAAGTGTGGATGTACACTTTGTCGTCCAAGACACATGATTGGTCCTGCAAAACAATTTATGTAAGTTTTTCAGTCGTGCATAACGCTAACGCTGGATTAATATCCCATATATCGTGATGCCGCAAAAAAATTGGTTTCAAAACAATATAGACGTAGATGATATTGAAAACTAATAGTTAGCAAAGGTATATACGTTTAATTATTTGCATTACCACTTCTAGTGAAGTTCGTACTGTGGTCAAAAGGCTCTCATTCAGAAGGGACATGGTCGCCCTTTGCGTGAGGTTAGCCGAGACTTCGCACACGCCTGCCGGAACGTCCTTATAATATGCCGTGAACTGGCTGAATCGCTCGAACAAGTCCGGAAACCACATCATCAGGGTGTAGTAACTGAAGACAAAAAAATGATAGTATATAATAAACTGAAGAACATGGAAATGTCTTACACAAAACTGACACCTAACGTAATGCGTTGGGTGATATTCAACTCACTAGAAGCCTCTATGGTGCGTAATCAAAATTCGAGTTGTGTCCTTTAATTTACCTGAACATAAGGCCAAAGTCGACAAAGCAGCACAACACCAAAAGTCCAATATAAGGAGGGGAGACCAGCATTTTCTTTCTGTCCCAGAAAGCCTGCAGTCTCTGCTTGAATGTCCTCGGTGGTTTGGTTTCGTTATTGTTGTCTGCTGCTACAATTTCTTCCTCGTCTCCATCTTCGTCAGCTCCAATCATCGTTTCCACCTATGAAGAGTTCAAAATTATACGGTATAAAATACTTTTAGATAGATTTGATGTTCTATTTCGTAAAGATTTTCCAACACCAGTAGGTTCTTCAACAAACGGAAATTAAATCGGAATCTTGATCAAGCCTTTTTTTAAAGACGAATACGTACCGGAAAGTCCTTTTCTGTCAATTTGGTGTTCACGACGAAAATCCTCCGCAACACCTTAAGCGCTTCTTCAGGCTTATGAGCATGGAGGAGGTATCTTGGACTTTCTGGGAACGGGATTAGAAGCAACACGACTAGGAGACTTGGGATCCCGCAGGCTGCTACGAAGACCCTCCATGACGTATACTGGAACGCTGCTTCTGGAGCCGTCCAGTTGTAGAAGGGATCCCGGATGATCAGCCAGGCGATACCTAAGGTCGTTCAGAAAAGATGGTAAATTGAAAAATACTGCGAGAGTTTTCCGGAAATATTATGTTTATACGAATACTCCGTGAGCCAATAATTCACTGGTCGCCTCTTCAAAATCTGAGGCTTAAACTAGGATTAGAGTTCATAGAATAATAATTTCATATAGTATAAAAGCTTTTACAAATTTCTGTTCAATTCTTAATATTTTCTATAAAAATGTGACTTGTGAAGTGAGATAACCTAGAATTTGATTTATGGCAACTAGAAACATTAAACTTTCAAACAAAATCTTATTACATGATTTATTTATTTCTAAATTTTTTTACTAAGCAGCGATTTACGAGGTCCAATGGTATTTTAACTGCCTCCGTGGCCCAACGGTTACCATGCCGGACTGCCACGCAGAGGTCCCAGGTTCGATTCCCGGGCCAAGAGAAATATTTGTAAGGCCTACATTTATTTCTCTCGTGAGTTTGGGTGTAATTTGTGGTTGTCTATGTTTGTGTCCATGGCACCCGCGACACAGGGTTTCCCTAGTGCGGGGCTATGTTGAGTGTGTGCGTTATTACTACTATTACTACTATTATATTTTAAATTGCGGCGAAAAGAGCCCTACGATTTATCCTACTTATCAACAGTAAAAAACATTCATGTTTGTGGACACGTGGACGCTTCACAAGACGAACAATCAACAAACTTAGACAAACAGTGCTATAAGAGCAGTAAATCACAACACATGCACTTTAATAGTCCATAGTCCACAGATGGTGTATATGATCAGAGTAATGACTAATTTAGTATTGGCAATTAATAGAGTCAGAAATATGGCGACTAGTTCAAATTGGCACAGTATCAACTATTCAGTGACAAACAAGTAGTAAAAACCGCCTGTGAGATGATTTCAAATGTCTGTCCAACAGGAAAAAATGGAAGAATAGATACGATGCGAACTAGTTCAATGTTTGTTTTTACATTCCGTGGATTCCTTTTTTTTACCGACATTGTTTGTATATAGATGTTTTTAAAAATAAGAGTAAATAAACAAGCGAATATATATATAGCTCAAAAATATATAATCCCTGTGATTCCATTTCATAAGGCTAGTTCAAGTGCAGTGGTTTCATAAGGCCTAGTTCGATTGTAACTACAACACTATTTTTAATTAGCCTATTATTGGGTCTCACAGGGCTTGTCTTTTGGACTTCCAAAACTCCCGGTTTAACGCAATATCAGGCCAGTGGTATTCGCGTCTAAGACATCTCGCCGTCTTGTCCGTCTCGTTTTCGCTATCCATTCTGTGGTTGTGGCTCCGGTCAAGTGGCTGTGTAAGCGCATCTCTGTGGGTGCATGTGCGACAGACGTGACCAGCCCAGTCCCATTTCAGCCTGACAATCCTTTTCCCAACATTGGTTATGCGTATCTTCGAGCGCAGCACAGTGTTACGGATTTTATTTATCCTCAAACTTTAATTGATACTAGACTTTTGATTTTCAGTCCGAGGCTATGTTTGGGCACCATTAGTATAGATGGGCTGCTAAATTACTATCACACAATTCGACATACAGACGAACGTATCGTGGGTCGATACGATCCAATGTTTGCGGCTACTTATAATAGGCAATTACGAACAGAGGGACATTTGGACAGGCCGTCATGGCCGTTCCGCCTATGAGGCATACGATGTTTTTTATTAACAAATAAATTACAATATCTTTTAAATTTATGTAAGTCACGGTATCTGTGACTAAGTACGTACCTGCCGTATAAATAATGCCGATATTTACGATTGCTAAAACAATGAATAATAATAAAAAATCCAGCCTTCTTTTTGGGGTTCGCGAATATGGCGCGAGGCGAAGGCGACACTGGCCGATTGACAGATAGTCCGCGTTCATAGTGGACGATGGGAACGTAGAAATAAATAAAAAAACATTACCGCCTTCTAAACTAGGTTAAAAAAATATCACCTAGTTTTGCTGCACGTTATACATTATTTACGAGCTAGGGTGATGAAATTTATAGACGTACCTGGCAGGAAAATAGTGCCAATAGTCCAAAAGACTTCAAGCCGGCAAAGCATGACGTCACGATGACGAAGCGACAAAAAGTCTCCAAAGTATGGGAACACCAATCCCGTGGCGCCGATGATGCCGAAGCCGGAGAAGAATCTGCAAGAACGTCAGTCTACAACCAATAGGCAGGCATGGGAAGTTCCAGGCACGAATCAATGGAGGTTTAGAAATTAGGAATAAAATCAAATTAAAAACTGAGGAAGTGGCAGTATTTGGCAATAATTGTTACATACATACCACCAGGTCTGTCTCCCGGGGTAACAAACCTCTTTCTCCTTTTTCACTTGCGTCAGTCTCTTAATACAGGCTCGTTTACTTTTAGACTCTGATACTGATTTTTTTAAGGACATCCCCAATTTGATCGAGACATACGTTCAGGTCTGTGATGACATATATACCTATCCTCATTTTCCAGTCCAAATTCGTTCTATAAGTCTGTGCCGTCGATTTACTAACATCCACCCTTTCTATATGACCAAGCCAACAAAGCATCTATTCCTGTCTTCAGGTCACTACATCGTCTTGCACACCACCACGTTCCAATATAATATACCATACGTGACAAACTAATATATTTTTATTTAGATTTCAATCCAATATTTCATAGTTGTATCGTTACATACACGCAAATTTAAGTACTCATGTTTGGAACAAAAATTAAAAAAATGTTCTCCATTTTAACTTCATCAACGAGCCAATTTAAAAACGGCCAATTTGAGTCTATCAAGTAATATGATAGATACCTAAACGCCAAGAAGGCAGGAAAAGACTGCATTAGACTGGATATAAAAGCTGCAGCAGCGTCTACGAGTAGAGCACCCATGATGGCTTTCTTCCGCCCTCGGGCGTCAGCCAGGTTGCCCCAGAAGTACGAGCCCACGCACATACCTGCAAGCGAAAAAGAGTCTCAGTGAAATTCGTCAAGGGCTCATAGATCCCCATGAAAGAGAGCTGTGGTTTCAAAAAAGGTAAAAACACTATTGACGTATGACCACATGTGGTTTTACACGCTGGATCTACTTGTTCTCCTTTGTAAAGCAGGTGTTACGTCTAAACATTACTCTAGTGCTACGATAAAACCTTACGGTTTTACTTGTGTCATTAGTTTAAGATTGACGTTAGTTTCGCACGACGTTTTCATTTAATACGAATTATCATAGTAATCAAGTGAGAAGATATCTTACCGGATACTGATAAGTAACCAGTAGACCGAAATTACATTTTCCAGAAATTACGTTTGCTCGAATTTTCATAACCTCGAAAGTAATTTTGAGAGGATTTTTTTTTAACTTAACCTAACCTAACCGAACCTAATCGTGTCTTTGCGATAAACATCCAACATATCCTGAAAGTTTCGTTATAATTTTTGGTGTAATGAAAATTCGAACAAACGTTGTTTCGGAAAAAAAATAAGTTTTGTGATAGGTTACCATCTTACCGATAAGCGGTGTGGCTGTAAGACGGCCCTTGTCTGAAGATTCTAGATGGAAGTCGCAGGCGGCGGCAGGCAGCACGAAGCTCAGCGTGGTCGTGCTAAGAGCGCAGACCGCGTAAACCGCGCCACACGTGCATAGAAGCAGCCATTGGAAGCTGCCATAGCCTGAAATACAATTATTTTTGTTTTTTTTCAAGAACTTTTGGGCACGGAACTTCATTTAATATGCAGGTTGTATTTTACATAGCATTAGAGCTCCAGGGAAGTTCTGCCAGCTTAACTATTTCTGCCGCCAAGGAATAATGCTAGTATTGAAGGGTGCTGGTGACGCTACAGCCTCATGGGACATGTCAATTTATGTCTCAAAGTGACGGGCGCAGTGGCAGTGACCCTCAGATCTTTGCGATTTAAAGCTCTGGATGGTACTGCAACTGTCATTGATAGGCGTGTCGCTATACATACATACCACCATGTGGGCGCCTTTGCTGTTAGCAGTTAGAAAAACGTCAAGTAAATCAGCGCCCTCTATTGGCAATGTCCAAAACGACGATGATTAATTGATACATTGATGATGATGATTGATTTGCAACGATATTTCGCTATTTAGTGGTACGAACGCACCCCGTGAATCAGGTGGCAGGTGGTGGCGCTGGTTAGACGATTACGAGTTTTATAGGAAATTAAACAATTTTTCCGGATTTAAATCGCGTATATTTGTTTATTCCAACAAACCGACGTTTTGGGCCCTTCTTGTACCACCTCAGTCAACCGGGACCATGGGACCTGTAAAGGGCCCGAAACGTCGGTTTGTTTGAAAAAACAAATATACAATTTAAATCCGGAATAATAGTTTCATTTCCTATGTGTAACAATCGCGAAAACCTAAGAACTTGATGATTACGAGTTTTGTTCACATTCGCTCCAGCCGCGATTTCCACGTGTCCTAATGGTGAGAATTATCACGCCTGAATCACATCCTGTAATTGTCTTCCGTATTATTTTGTGTACTTGCATGACCGATTGAATTATATTAGACAAATTGAAAATAAACATATATATCAAACTGAAGTTGTAATTGTATTATGGAGGGCGGGTACGAGCCAGACGAACAGGGTTCAGTTTCACTCTCCCTGGTTCTAAATCCGACATACATATTACTAACATCATAAACAAAAAAAATTGTTCCATGATTTTTAGTAATTCACCAGATTTGACGTTCATGCGAAAATAAATATATTTAAATAGATCGCTCTAAACGGTAATACGAGTAGCTCTGTACAGGATAGGGGTGGGAGTCGAACCGCTGTCTTCTATCAAACCCTGGCAGACGCTAACTAAGCCACGGAATGAACCAGCGAACCTCACGAATTTTTGTATGTGCTAGTTGTCGGATCTTTTGTTTAAGTAATAAATTTGTTTTGTTTTGATTTAAGTTGTAAAAAAATACAAAACACTGTATTTGTACTTGCAGTGTTTCAATTTGACACGCTAACATAGTTTCATACTAAATAATCCGTAAGTTTCGTGACACACCGGGTTATGGTAAAAGGAAATCAAAGCGTATAGCCTCGCGAAGCGAACCTTGATCTTCAATATTCCATTTTATCGCATTGCATTAAATAAACTTATTGACTATGAATTGATATTGGCCCTACACTTGAGTCAATAGGCTTGTTACAATCAATTGCTGGTTTCTATTCGCCATTATTGGCAAGTATCTATAAATCGTTGTGTTAAACACTCCCAAGTGCAGCGGTTTTTATTAATGGATTGCATATTCATTTTGATTTATGTACAGTACTATTATAATTATTAATACAGAGATCGAACACTCAGAAAAAATTCCTTCGATCCGGCCGGATTCGAACCGACGCCTTCTAGCATACCGTGCCAGTAGTACCTATCACAAAGTCGAATAATTTTTTTCCGAAATAACGTTTGTTAGAATTTTCATTACACCGAAAACCGAACTAAAACGAAACCGTTGTTCTTTCATGATATGTTGGATGTTTATCGCAAAGACACGTTTAGGTTCGGTTAGGTTATGTTAAGTTAGGTTTAAAAGAAAAAGTATTTTCCCCTCAAAATTTCTTTCGAGGTTATGAAAATTCGAGCAATCGTTATATCTGGAAAATGTCATTTCGGACTTCTAATAGGTAACCCGCAAAGATCTTAGAGGCACTCCCACTGTGCCCGTCACCCTGAGACATAAGTTGACAAGTCCCATGTGCCTGTAATTTCCCTTCCGAATCGGAACAAAGTAATGCCCACATTGCTGCTTAGCAGCAGTAAATGGTATGGCCTACATTTATTTCTCTCGTGAGTTTGGGTGTAATTTTTGGTTGTCTATGTGAGTGTCCATGGCACCCGCGATACAGCGTTTCCCTAATGCGGGGCTATGAGTTGTGCGCGTTATTATTAAATCAATAGTAGGACATAAATAGCAGTGGAAGAAAAACTAATGAAGTAATAGAAGATAAGTAGAGCAGTTAACTTTACGTAAACTAATGCGTTCTACTCAAAATTAGCGCTGGAGTTCAAGGCAATGCTAACATATAGGGAAACCTTAAAAAGTAACGAGAGGTTACTTAATTAATGAAGTAAAAGTATCGTTAATTCTTTCCAGTCAATTTATATTTGAAAACATTGTGTGTGGCATTATTTCCGAAACACATTGACAGGGATAAACGTTGACTTCAGAAACAATAATCTCAGTACAGAGTACTAAAAAAACCGACCTCAAAAATACGTGGAATTACATATAATTACCATGTTTTATTGAAATCGGTTACCGGGTAGTGCGCAAACCCGGATTCATCCCCTAGTTCGCCACTAAAATGTAATAAAAATCGGTTCTCACTTCTCAAAGTATATCGAGAGAGAAAAGCACCTTGAATTGGAGAATAGCAAAATCAACCATTACAATAATTGCAGCTTATAATAAAATTTAGGCGCTATTTATGAAAATGAATTTTCATGCGTGAACAGCCACTCTTGGAGGTGGATGATTTTCTTCAAAATTAAATGGGACCACTATGGAGATACACTCTTTCCAACAAAAAAGAATCATGAAAATCGGTTCACAAATACCGGTGTTATCGCGTAACATGCATACAAAAAAACATACAGTCGAATAGAGAACCTCCTCCTTTTTTGAAGTCAGTTAAAAATAAACTTACAACCCCGACGTTCTTAGCTAGTGGATTTCGTTCATCATTATTAGAGCCTTGTATTAAAATAAAATTACAGAAAATGTGCAAAATTAACAGAATAATTAAAACAATTGTAATAATAAATAGACCTGAAAAGTTTGTGAAATTACATTTGTTTTACAAGTTTTATTGATGTCCAATAAATCGTATTCACCCCTTAAGTTTACTTCCCTTGGAGGTGAAATATTTCCTTCAAATTGAAATGGGATCACTATTGAGGTATCCCCTTTCCAATAACAAAAGAATCATCGAAATCGGTTTACAAACATCACAGTAATAGCATAACATAAATTTTTGTGATGGTGTTTATTTTTTCCTCCTGTTCTTAGTTTTTTTTTATAATAGCAAGTGATGGGACGAACATGTCGTGCGCCTGGTGGAAAGCGACACGCCTATCCATAACAGTTGCATTGCCATTCAGAATTTCAAATCGCAAAAATGTTGCATTCATCGCCCTGAGACATAAGTTGACAAGTCCCATTTTCCGTTGCAACTCTAATTTATGCTTGTCTTTCCAAAAGAACCCTGGGTACAAAGAAGAGTATTTAGAAAATTATGTCGTGAACCGTGCGCTATCAGACTATAGTAGTATATTGCGAAGCGCCTAGCCGTCGGGACCATAAAGCTTTGTGTCTGGCCGTGTAGGTATACTAGGTGATTATGTAGCGTGTTGCCTGCGAGGGTTGCGGTCGATTAATTGGATCGTTCGTTTCGTAAGTAAATCTCGTTAACGGATTAAACGGATCGCTTACTCCACACAATGTTGAACATACTTTATTTCCACGTAGAATAACGCTAAAAAAAATATCGGTGGAAGTCATTGACTTACAATTATATGGACGTCGGGTCCGCGCTAAAAAGTGTCCGAACTTATAGGGCGTTAAAATCGTATACAGAGCGTCATTCACGCTTTAGTCTTCGTTTGTTCGACTGACGGCGAAGCAAGCAAAATTAGACAGTACTGCGATAACATTACAATTTAAATTCAACGTTTTAGCTTTTTCATATTCCTTTACATGTCACTACGTTTAAATAGGTTGATTTGGGACATTTTTTTCGTGGTTTTTCTATTAGACCCGTCGTCCATTTATTTGTAAGTCAATGGTGGAAGTCCAGTGTGGGAGAACGGTTGTTTTACAATCGACAATTAGACAAATGAATTTAATTTCTTTAGTGACATACGTTGGTGAATGTTTAGCATAATTATCATGATATGTCAGTGTTTTGTTTTTAAACGGAACAGGCGCCAGTTACGCCGCGGCGACCGCTCAGTTACCACGCCGTCATGTGCATTAATGTCGAATCTGAATAGTATTTATTAGGTAACAACATTTAAAAATGGACGCTCATTTAAGTTAAAACGTAAAAGCTAAACAAATAGAGCGTATTTTGCCATGACAGTTAGACGAACGCGGACTCCGCTCTTCGACCGCGCAGGGTGAGTTAGGAGAAATCCGAAACTATAGAAGATACAAAGAAACTGTCTTAGGAACCATGAAGTCTTTTTGTGAAAACAATTTTGGCATAGTAAATTTTTTGGTCAAGCATGAGTTGTCCATAAAAATGCCTAAAATTGATCAATTTTTTTTACTGCTGATCGACTCAGTTTAATGAAGGGATCGAAAAATCGGGACAGCAGAAGTGGTCAAATTTCATATTTTTCATACAAAACGCATTAAATTGTCTAATTTTTTAAATTTTAATGGACTCAGTTTCTTATAAGGATGACTTCATTATATCGGAATTAAAAAAGGGGAATTAATTGTTTTCAGGATTTTATATGATCAGATAAAGCACATCCTATCGTGTAACATATTAGCACATTCTTTAGATAATATCCTTGGGTGCATGGAATATTTTTTGTGAGACCGTCAATAGTAAATATCTAAACCATTTGATGTAACAAAACAGTTTTTCCCGATTCTCCTCCGGTAACTCGTCTTAAGATTAGTA